TAAATGACTATTGTTGGGCGTCATCTATCGAGACACAGAGAGGCTCAAATGTTCACGTTCAGCATCTTCAGCTGTGTTAGAATATATTTTCTTTCCCCCGTTTTGTATGACTGTAAAAGGTGAAAGTGAAGCTGTCAGAAACATCAATTTCAGACATTTTAGAGATTTATGAAAAAAAACATGAAAGAGCCAAAAATAGCCGACACATTCTCTGATTATAAAGTCGTGAGGGGCTGCGTTTAAAAACTTGAATAAGCGCTCATAGTCAAGAAGAGCTGAATCCAAATATGGGAGCTTGTGAGGGTCATGTAAAGTGTCTGTCCTGCTCGGTGGTACTGTCAGTATCAAGATGGTGGACCAATCAGAAACAGTCGCTCACAGTGTGAAAACTCAGTTAAGAGGAAAAAAGATAACCAGACAGAACTCCTGCCTGATTTAAAAAAAACAAAAACAATAATGAGGTAATAAACAAAGCTGATGATTTATCCACATGCTTCTCTAATAAATATATACACAGAAAAAAAATAGAAAAATAAAAACATCTCAGAGAGTCTTGGCAGACGTTTGAGTCCAGGAGGCAGAGTTTTAAAAAAAAAAGAAAGAAAAGAAAGACGTAGTTGACATTTCCTGGGCCTCTGTTTGGATACACGGTGCATCGACGTGCACGCTTTAAATACACACACACACACACGGAGCCTTTTCGAGCTGTGCACAAAGTGGTTCTCTCATCGAACAACACTGGAGGAGTCGGTGGGTGGAATGTTGACCTTGCATGCTATCCCATCTGTATCTGTTGCATACGCTTTGTTTGTTTGTTTGTTGACGACGGTAAACAGGAGAGCACTCAGACTGCATCCTACTGACAGAGTGTGTGTGTGTGTGTGTGTGTGTGTGTGTGTGATGTTAGCGGGGATACTAGGATCTGAATTTGAGGTCGAAGCTGCATGTTGAACCCTCTCACTGGATGCTGCCTCCAATATTCCTGAGTGAGAATAATCAATGAACCAGGATTCATTCATTCAAGATTCTGTGCTGAAACCAGACGATTCTTTGAGGACATTATTTTGTATATTGGCACAATAAAAACAAAGATCAGTCGGTGCACTGGATGGACTTGATTACCCATCGGCCGGTCTAAACATCAACAACGTTTTAACTGTTTTTTAAAAGACTCAACAGAGTTACAAAGACGTAGTGAGGTGAGTGTGAGTAAAATGTGTCTGCGGGACAGACAGCAGGTGTAGGGGGGGTTTGACCTAAGTGCACGGGCGGGTGAGTTCTGTCAGATATTCTTGGGCCTGGCCGTGAAAGGCTCTGATGAAGTTCCTACAAACATCGTATTTCATTCGTTGTCATGTCACTTTTTGGACAAACAAGCAATCAAAAAAGACTTTTTAATGAGATCATCTCTTTAACTGACCCCGCTGTTAAACCCACAGGAGTCCTTTAAATCCACACAACCTTTACTTTCTATTAGTGTGTCATCTCTGATCGACACAAACACTCACACACTGAGTACCAATACTACACTCTCACTGCAAAGTTTCAGACTTTCACCTCACTGCCGATCCTTCCTCACAGACCCTCGTGTTTGTCATACTGGAGTATAACGTCAATAACCAAAGCTAAAGTGCTGAAATGTAGTGAAACAGAAAAGCAGAAAATGGTTTCTGAAAACACAGATCTCCTCGGATGTGAGGGCTCTGTTTTCTGCTGTCGATGTAGTGAGATCAAAGACGATCATTATAAACCGGACTAGAATGTGATTCTCATGCTAACAGGATTTTAAATTAAAGTATGAGTGACAGGAAGATGAAATATCCACCAGTCAAGCACAAATCTTAGCGGCCAAATTCAATAAAAAAATTGTTGGATGGTTGACTGACTCCTCGTAAACAAGGCCGCATACTAGCTTCATTTAGGTAGCCTAATGCTAACACGATATAATGCAGCTGGTGTCAACGGAGAGAAGGTACATATCATGTATAGCGAGTAAAGTAAAAAAAAAACAACCTAATACCACATGCCACGTGTTGTCATGGTTACAGAGAAGTCTCAAAGTGCTGTCCCATTGGCATTAAAACCATTTGGAGACCTTGCAGCCTCGTGCACTCGATCTCTTTCCAGGTGTCGTCAATTAAGTCCTTAAGGGGTCAGGGGTCAAGGGTCAGGGGTCAGGGAGGACATGGAGATTCCGCCTGTGTGTCAGCTCGCCCTCGTTTAGCTCCAACATGCAGACAGCAGAAGGAGCAGGAGAAGCTCCAGCTGCACCAAAGCGTGGTTAAAAACTCAACATAGTTTTTCCTCAATGAAATGACTTTTGACCCTCTGGTGACCTCCCTGCATGCGGCCCTCGGCAGGTGTGTGGACACTTGATTTAACCAGTAAGCTTTGAGGTATACGTTTAGTTACATTAAGGTGACATACACACTAAGGTAGATTCTGGAAAGTGCTGAGATTTGGGGTTTAAAAGTGAGTCTTGTGGGAGGGGTTACCGAGGCCATCTTGACGGGCTCCTACACCGACTGTATCGTTGTTTGGTGTGTCAGAATGAGACCAAAGCAGGCTTTAATATTCCACTTGTATCGTGTATCGTGACTTTAATTCAAAGAGGATATTTAGAGGCAGCATCACGGCAGGGTTTCTAGTTTCCTGATGCACGATAAGAAGCGGATGTGAGTGTGGATCTCTTTCTTTGATTGTTAACAGAGAGACACAGTGTCTGACTGAGCAACACAGTCAACAGAAAACTGTGTGTGTGTGTGTGTGTGTGTGTGTGTGTGTGTGTGTGTGTGTTTGTCACCAGTGGAGTGAAGTCTTCATCAGGGAACCAGAGGTGGAAGGAGGGGGAGGGTTGAATCCCAAAAAAACGTAGAAAAAAAAAAAAAAAACAGGTCTGCAGGAGAAATGAAAGAAAATGTTTTGTTTGGCGACTCAACCCCGCCCTGTTTGGATTCAACTTCATGACATCTGGAAATGAATGATCCATCACATCATTGTTAGGAACTTCTATTACTAAAGCCTCTACTTAAATGTCATTATATAGGAAACAATACCCCAGAGAGCTGGATGTTTGCCGCGACCACGTGTGCAATGTGGATGCGGCTAAGTACCGTCAGCATCAACAAAGGTCGCGCGATCGCGGCAAAGAGCGCAGTTTGAGGTATTGTTTGACTTTGTCTTTGACTTTTTTTAATACAATGGTTACAACACATGTACTGTCTCTTGAAAGAATTGTACATACATAAGAAGAAGGAAAAAAACGCGAGAAAAGATGGCTCCCTGGTCACCACAAGAGAAAGCAAACACCTCCATTTTTTCTTTTCTTTCTTTTTCAGAAAGTCGTGGCTTCTTGTCGTGCTGAAGCGAAACCAAGCCGTGTTTTAAAAAAAAAAAAATTCAAATTTAACTTTTCACATTTCAGAAGTTGGATTAACTTTCTCCTCGTGTAGCGTTTCTTTTTTTTTTTTTTTTTACAATATCGTGACGCCGAAATAAAAATGATCTACGAGGTGACGTTCTTAGAATTAAAAAAAATAATGAAAGGAAACTTAAAAAAGGAAAATAAGAAACCTGGATCGAATCACATTATACATCGTTTTGCTGTTCTGAGTCATCAATTAATTACACTTTTCTTTTCTTTTTTTTTCAGAGGAAAGCAGTTACAAGAGAAGAGTGAGCTCGTCCCCCCCAAAAGTCTTTGTCCTTCTGTTCTGTACAATACTACCCGCCTGCATGGTGCACAACATGGCAAACAACACTGATAGGCCGAGAGAGAGCATGAAAGAGAGAGAGAGAGAGAGAGAGAGAGAGAGAGAGAGAGAAAGAACCCAACAGGGCTCTGTATTCACAGCTGCTGAGGTGAGGGGTAAAATGTGACGGACAGACAGTTAAATAATTATAACAGTCTCATTTTCTTTTTATACTTTGAAAAAATAATAAAAAATAAAAACTTCCTCCTGTCGGGGGAAGAAACACACGTAAGTTCCAAACTGAGCAGCATCCCGTCTGTCTCCCATCCCATCCATCCATCCATTAATCCGTCTCCGTTCTGGCTGTTGTCAAAGCTTGTTCTGATGATCATGAAGATGAAGATGATGATGACGGTGAGAGCAGAAGATTTTTTTTTTAAACAAAAACAAAACAATTCCACCAAAAATAAAAATAAAAACAGGAGCTAGAATAATATGTAGTAGAAGAAGAAGAAGAAGAAGAAGCAGAGCTCGGGAAAAACTCAAACTTCCACCAGGCACTGTAGCTGATAGAGAGAGACAGTCTCAGAACCAGCTGATACTGAGCTTCTATCCCACAATGCCACAGAGGTCTGAAACCTTAAAACATTCCCACATCGCTGAGAGACAGGTCGGAGAAAAAACTCAAAAAACTCAAAAAAAAAACTAAAAAAAAAAAAAAAAAAAGCCAGAGGTTCTGCTGATGTGTGGGATAATCCCACACGTTAAAAGAGCTCTCAGCTGTACGCTGGAACTCATGCTCCCAAGATGCACTGCTGCTGCTGCCGCGACGGTCCAGCAGAGAAAGAAAAACAAACAACAACAACAACAACAACAACAACAACAAAAAAAGAGGAGGAGGAGGCCGGCCCTGATTTGACAGTGACGACAACTTGGCAAATCTACAAATGATGTCGCGGTTTGTTTTCTTGGGTCAGGAAGCAGGAAGTAGGTCACCGAGGAATGAGCAGCAAGACAACACTGCCTTTAATAGGCTGAGGCAGACAGACAGGTTGTCAGACAGATTAGACAGGCAGGTTTTAAATACACTGCTGCTCCTTCTGACTTGAGTCTTTTCCGTTAAGTTCTTGGGGGGCGGTTTCAAACAAACCGGGCCCCCCCCGAATCCACCAACGGCGCACAGATGTGGCGAGGCCCGACGACCGCCGCCGCCGACCTCTCCGAGCCGTCGTGGCTGAGGCCCGTCCAAACATCCATCTTTCCATCGATCCATCCAAAAAGGTGAGACAGAGACAGCAATGGGTCTGGTGCACCGACCTCCGAGGAGGAGGCGTAGAAGTGAGAAGTAGAGAGGGTAGAGCAGGAGAGCTGGAGAGCGGGCGGGGGGGCCGTCACTCGGTGAGCAGCTGCTGGAGGAGGCTCTTCTGCTGGGCCTGGTTGTTCTGTTGGGAGCCTGGGGCGCGGGGCCCTTCTGGGAGGCGGCGGCGGCGCCGATGGAGCCCTGGTTCAGGTAGGAGTCGCCGCCCACCAGGTTGACGGTGCACTGGACGTCTGCGAACACCTGAACCTGCTGCACCTGCAGACGACAGAGACGACAGTGATACACCACATCATCAGTACAAATACTTCCTGCTTTCACTCGTTATCTTCTTATGTGTTATTATCGAGTATCTCGCTTCACGTCTGTAAATATTTTCTGCTCAATGTTTGTGGGAAGCTGCTGACTGAGCTGCTGCACGTCTTTTGAAAAAGTCATTTTTAATCTCAGGGAGCCATAAAGGTGACATAAAAGTTAAAAACAAAAAAGGGAGCTGGAGAGGTGCCACTTCCTGATCACCTGGGAATACCAGTTGCTGTGTTTTGTGTCCCTTCTAAATGTTTCAGTATGAAACGGTACATTTTGCTCCTGTTTTTCCATTTTCATCTATATTAAAAAGGAAATAATCTTCAGAAAAGGTAAAGGGGTAATAATGGATTTGAAGGGTCTAAAAATGTAAATTCTGTTTTGGATTTTTAATTAATTAATTAATTTTTCAGATTTTGAGTTTTCTGTTGTATCTTTCATCACAATAAGTTCACTGAGTCTTTGCCGTTGACGTTGCCCATGACGCAGAGATTTGCGCCCAAAACCAGAAACACTTTTAGACATGTAGAACGTTTTAAATCCACATTTTTCAGAGATTTATTTTTGGGCTTTTTGTGCCTTTGTTGAGAGATAAACCAGTGGATAGAGTTGGAAATCAGGGAGAGAGAGAGAGTTGGGAACGACAAGGAAAGGAACCACAGACTGGATTCGAACCCGGGCCGCCCGCCCGCCCAGAGGACTACAGCCTCCACACATGGGACGCGCTCACCAACCACTGCGCCACCAGCGCCCCTTAAATCCTATACATTTATACTCAATGACGACCTTTTTACAAGTTTACAGATTTGATTACATCTAAAACTAATTAAGAAATATCTTATTCCTTGGAGGTCTGTCATTCTTCTTAACAGGAGGGGTTAAACGGCGCCCTAGGGACCTTTACTGACCAGCCGCCAACAGTAAACAAAGACTCCATGGTGATGTAAATTCCAGGATAGAAAGGCGTTCTGATGGTGACCTACACTCTAACTTTAAGGAACAGAAACTTAAAGAGAAACGTGTCTCCTGCAACCTAAAAGTGTGGCCTGATGGATGACAGCGTTACGATACTTTCAGGTCGTGCAGGTTCAAAGGTCACCCACCTGCTGGTCGCTGCACACCGAGGCGACGCTGCTGAGGTTACTGTTGCTCAAGCCGACCGTCTGCCCCATAGGAGGTAACGAGCCGACGCCGCCCGAGCCTCCGGCCATGGAGACGGTGATGCTCATGTTGTTGTAAACCCCCTGCTGGCCGAAAGCCTGCCCTGCACTCTGTCCTGACTGACTGAACAGGCTGAAGAACGACAACAACAGATGTTAAAGGTATTATTATAATGTAAATAATAACAAAAGTTATCTTTAAACAATGTGAAGATGGCCTCACCTGTTGCTGGCCACGCCCGTCTGTTGCCAGCTCTTCATTTCTGGTGACTGGTAGCCAGGAGGCGGGGCTTGCTGGAGCAGAGGACTCTGGGAGGCGGAGTTTTGAGGTGACAGTAGCGGGCTGGTCGGGCTCATCTCGGGAGGGAAAGGTGGGTCTTGCTGAACTAAAGCTTTGGAAGAGAAACAGCGAGGTCTTAATATTTCATATGTCAGCAGAGGCAAATGGTAAGTGGATTATTTGAACTCACCAGACCCTCCAAACTGCTGAAACAGACCCTGCTGCAGAGAGGGGTTCACGCTGCTGTTGAACGGACCCTGCACGGCGCCAATCAGCGTCTGGTTACTGAGAGGAACTCTGGCGGTCAGTTTGTTGTCCAGAGGACTCCCGCTCATGGGGCTGAAGTGACTCGGTGAGGTAGGGGATTTTCCCGTCATGGGGCTGTACCCTGGTGGGAAGCTGAACTGTTGTTGTTGTTGTTGTTGTTGTTGTTGCTGCGGTGGTTGAGGCGTTGTTGGGGAACCTTTTGGGACTCGGGCGGTTCCGATGGTCCCGACGGCTCCGGTCGGAGTGCCCGCCAGGTTCTGTCTCATCAGCATGACCTTCTGCTGAAAAAGCTGGCGCTGCCGGTGCTGGATGCTGTAAAGCTCTCTCTGCCGCTGGGCCAGCATCTGGGCGTTCAGCGGAGGCTGCTGAGAGAAGACATTTGAAGAAGCTTGTTATGGAAAACCCAAAGTGCATTCTGAATTAAACTGTTTAGAATAGAATAGAATAGAATAGAATGACTTTATTGATCCCAAACTGGGAAATTGTGGCGTTACAGCAGCAGGTTATCAGAGCAAATAAAACAATGTAAGAATAGAAACATAAATAAGCACGTAGAATATAAAAAGAGATTTATACATCAAGGATTTAACTTAACATTCCTACTGGTTAAAAAAAAAAAAAAAAAAATGAAATACAACATTTATTCAGGCAATAAATGAATGAAATTAAATTGAATACAGAAAAACAAAATCAGTTATCCTATAACTAAAGATTTTGGACACAGAAAGAAAATTGACGCAGTTTCATCGGGTTGGTTGGTGGAGGCAGGCTGCTGCTGCTGCTGCTGCTGCTGCTGCTGCCGCTGCACCCAGACCAATATCACTTGATGAACCAAAATCTTAGACTTTTCTTGGTTTGAAATTGTTAGGGATGTCATTGTGCTTAAGATACTGAGTACTGTACCTGCTGCAGGACCGTTTGGCCTTTTTAGTGGTGATTTCATGAAAGTCACGGGTGAAAAGAATCCTCAATATTTACAAAAATGTAGAACCAAAACAGTAATCACTGCTCTCTTCAGTCTGAGTCTGTCACTACAAACACACTATTTAAATCACAGTAAATATAAAACATATTCATAAAAGAAGCTCAGAGTGAATGTTTCCGCTCATTAGTTTAATACATGTACACAGATTTTCTGTCAGTCTATCAGTAGCTGATAATCTCGATGAATGGCGATCTCGCCGCCCTGTCTGACTCACCTGTGAGGGCATTTGAGGTTGTTGAACCCCCTGACGAATCCCTATGTTCACATGCTGAGCTCCTCCTGGAAACTGGGTGATGCCTGCCATCCTGTTCTGGAGCTGAAGGAGAAAAACACACGCAGGCATAAGCAGAGGTCAGAGCAGGACAGGACAGGTGTTGATAACAAGAGTAAAGAGACCGTGTTTTAACGAGAAAACAACATATGAGGTAACTGACAAAATACTGCAGGAGGGATGGAAACAGAAGAGCAGAGGAATCAAATATTAGAGAGGAGGGAAGTGGAGAGTTCTTTAAGAGCTTTTAATCAATATTTGAAAACATCAAACCAAAAGAGTCACTTGGCTTAGTAGGATACATTCTGACACATTAAGTGATAAGAAATTTAGTGTTATTCATCACAGCTCTGAGAAACTGGGGTCTACTAAAGGATTATGAGTGAAAGTGAAGGGCTCATGTTCATTAAGGGCGATGTCCGACTGCACAGCAAAGAGCAAAGAGAAAAGTGTGTAAAGAAAACATGAAAGCACAAATAGAAGAGAAAAGTTTAAAAGGTCACATATTATATAAAATACTCTTCATGTTTTTCTGACACTAACATGTGTCTCTAGTCCGTCTTCAAACCCCCAAATGAGAAAAGTCCATCCTCTCCATCTTTAGCCTGCTCCACTTTTTCATGTGTACTCAAACAGGCCGTTTGGAGATTTTCCCTTCATGACATCACAAAGGGCAGTAGCCCCTCCCCCAGGTGGGTGGCACTCCCACAGCTAGGTGTTTGTTCTGCCCTCTAAGTCTGCCTTCTCACCATAAACAATAGGACATGGAGCGAGAAAGCCCGAGCCACATCCCCTTCCAGAGGTCAGACACAGCTCATTTACATATTTAAAGCTACAGACACAGAAACAGCCTGTTCTGAGCAGGGCTGAAATAGAGGGGTTTATAGACATGATCAAATACAGGATCAGAATGGATTTAGAACAAGAAACTTCACACACATGTTTTGAGGAGCTCTGAGACTTGTTGAAACTGATTCAAAAGGAGGAGAATATGTGACCTTAAATGCATTACAAGCGACAACAACTTTGATCCACTCCCTTCAAGATCACACAAAGTCAACACAAACCACCACCTCTGCCTCCTCACCTGCTGAGGGCCCTGCAGTCTCTGCTGCAGCTGCAGGCGCAGCTGGTTGGGTGGCAGCCTCAGCCCGGGGTTCACCCCCTGTGGACGTGTCATTCCCGGCCTCAGCCCCATGCCCGTCACCCCAGCAGGGAACGCCGCACGAGGTGCTCCGAACCCCAGACCCTGTGGCCCCACGCTGGCCAGCTCTGGAGGGAACTGAGCTGGTGGAGCTGCTGTGAACTGGGTGGGGTAGGTGGGAAGTTTAGGGTCCAAGGTGACGGGGGAGGCAGTGGGCTGCTGGGTTGGAAAGGTTTGGGGCAAAGGGTCAAAGCAGCCGCCCTGGGGAGAGGACAACCACAATTAGTTTTGTGTTTTTTTTACTGAAAATAAAAACGTTTCATCATGTCACTAAATCTTTCTTTTTCAAGTTTGGAATTCCGTTCCCTGAGTTTGTCCTGAAAATAAACCATAAGAGCCAGAACCAGCTCTCTCCAACAGCCAATTACTGACCTGAAATGAATCATTATCAGAACCTTTCCTTCCCTCTTCATGCTCAACACATCTCTTCTCTATGATGCACTCACCTGTACCAGTTTGTCGATCCCCAGGGCTTTATCCAGCTCAGCCAGTTCACTCTCATCAGTCCCACTGAGGAAGGAGACGAGCTGCTCCAGCAGAGCTTTCTCATCGTTTCGTCCCTCGGGTGTGGTCGGAGGGCCCAGCACTTCGTCCAGCGTGCAGGGAACACACTGCCTGCTCGCACACAGAAAACAAAGCGTCTCAGCGCACACAGCTCGCCTACGTCTTTGAAACGTTTGGTGCATTTTACTTCCGCAACTTCAGCAAAAATGATAAAACGGGTGAGTGGGTTGGGTGGAGTGCAGCACTACTTACTCTTGAGGTGACGCTAAGGGAGCTTGTAAAGGTGTTCCAATACCGTCAAAGGTCAAGGTATCAGACAGGGCCAGAGGCTGGAACTGGGAGTCTCCCACATCCATCTTAGATAAGCCTGAAACAGAGTTTTTAAAATCACAATTTAAAGAAACATTTCACAGCAATAGATTAAATAGTTATTATTCTATCATGAAGTAGTGCCTCGTATAATTAACAGCAACTAAAAAATCCTGCCTTTGGTGCCACATTTTCACCTTGCTTTATTCATGTAGCATAGCCGTGCCCTCGTCTACAGCATAGAGAAAATCTTTATCGCGCATAGGGTCGTATATGTAACAGAATACAGTCCAACCACACCCAGTGCTGATAATGAGAGAGGTCATTCACGCAGTAGAGCATTCAGACTTTCAGACTATAGACTTCAGCTCAACAAAGCTCCCCTGCTGCTGAAGAGTTTGTGTGTCAAGTTACGACAGAACTAAGTTCCCACAGTCTTTTTCCACTTCTCAAAACATAAATATGACAGTTTGATGGTTTCCTAAGTACCAGTGCTCGAACTGAAGGGGTTGATGATTTCCGCCTCAGGAAAGGGGCTGCTGTCTTTGGGGGTCTGGTAGAGGTCTCCCTGTCCCTGGGCCTGAGTCTGGCCTGGAGTGGGCGGGCTGCAGAAATCAAAGGATGACTGACTCTGGAGGCTGCAGACGGAGGGCGGGCCGCCATCACTGAGCCCTGAGGGACAGGAACACAGGGCGCAGACAGGTGAGGAACAGTCACAACAAACAAGACAAAATGGGAGACGACTATTTCATATTTTTATCTCTAATGTAGAATGTGTTGTCGTCTGTAAGTCTCTGTGTTTTATTTATATATTAAATGTTCAAGCAGCTCTAAACCAATGGCTCTCAGAGGGATTAATAAAGCTGTCCGAATTAAAGTCATTTTCATGTGTTGATTGAAACTGCAATGCCAACATTTTGCCACTAGAGGGCATCAAGACTCACATCTGTAGTCTCATATGAATGAATAAATCACATACCACCACCACTGCTACTGAAAATAAAATAATACAATAAGAAATTACAACAAAACATGTTTTTTTTAATTTTCAGCCTCTGTACATGGCGTGCCAACAGACCCCTAGGCTACCCGTGCCCCCCCCCCGTGTAAAAAGCCTTAAGTGGTAAAAAGCCTTGATATATCACCTCCTTGTCAATCCAGACTCATAGTTACTACTCAACACGCTTTAAGTAGTTTGCAGATTCTTGAAATCCCACAAGGAAATACTTTATTTTGAAAATAAATCAGTTTAGCTTTCCTGCTGTATTCACAGGAAACACTTTACAACATGCATCAGATCGTCACACATCTGCACCTATGGGTCAGTTCAACACCATGATTTTAAACATCTGTCTTCGGACCGTGTTGTTGTCTCTCTTAATATTTATTCTGCTTTTGCTTATTTACTGTTGTCCTCTCGACATCATTAAAAGTGAGTGCATGCCTTCAGTCATTCTTCTTTAATATTAGAAAAAATGTGAAACTGCATTTTTATTTCATCATATTTAACATTTAATTTTTATTCCTGTAAAAATGACTCTATAAGACTTTTGAATGCATGCTATTAAAACACGTCGGTTTGCTCTTTAAATTGACCCTGTGTTTGAAATATGTTGTATAAATAAAAGCAGCCTTGCCTAAATATTGAGACTGCACTTCAGGGTCCAGAGGTAGTATATTATGTTTAACTCTTCCCTCTTCTTAAAGCCCCCCCCCCCCCCCCCGTGTTTGAAACTGTACCTCGGTTAGGAGTGCCTGGAGGCTCTCTCTTCACATTGACGTTGCGGGGAGTGCTGGCCTCACCGGGCTGCAGCTGAGTGGGCGACTGCAGTTTGAGCTGGGGGGAGGGGGAGTGGAGCTGCGGTGACGGCGAATGCAACTGGGGAAGGTTCTGGGGCTGCTGGGACAGGGGGGACTGGAGTGAGGCACGGGGGACTGGAGCTGAGCTGGGCGTTGGGGGGCCGGAGAGTGTAGCTGGGGGCCTCCTCCAGGGGTTGTTGGATCCTCGCCGCCCTGCTTGGCCCCACTCGGGCCTCTCAGGCCGGGCAGCAGCTGGGTGAGAGGGTCCATGTCAACAGGGCCACCCGACACCTGAGGGCGGGAAAAATGAGCACACAGCAAGAAACACATGAAAGGGGATCGAGAGAGAGAGGAGGATGAGGATGGAAGAATTAATGGTGTAATGGAGTGAAAGAGAAAGAATTAAAGAATAATGGGTGGCAGAGGAGAGGAGGGGGGGAGGGGGGCAGAGGATCAGTGACACGGAGGCGGGGAGAGACAAAAGGTTAAAGGCCAGCTAGCTTCAAAGGCTGCAGCTGGTAGCTGAGCCCGCAGCCGAGACAAAGTCCAAGAAAATAAACATCCAACATGATTTACAACGGCTGTCAGCGAGCTGCCAATGCAGCAGTGAGGCTCAGCGGAGAGAAATACCCGTGCTTAATTGTTCCTTCTCACAGAGTGTCGCTTTAAATTTGAAAGCAATGGCGGCATCCACACGGGTTGCCAACGCAGAGAGCCCATTTTAATAATAAGGTCATTACAGTTATGATTTGGGTGTCATTAGTGTCTGAGGGGAGTCTGCTGCAGTCTGAGTCAGCTGCGGGGCCGCTGATGATTTGGGAACAACAAATACGATGGAGGTCTGCCGTGCACATACCCAGCGTTGTTTGAAGGATCTGAAAACTGCTGTCACAACTTTACCCTCTCAGTGACGATCAGACGGAGTGATGAGCATCAACGCTTAACATTAGGGGCCTGCGCAATTAGCTGCTATTTCATTGTCACGCTAATGTGAGCATGTTGCAAACATGAAGAACAGCTACCTCATGTTAATGTGCGATGGTTAGCTCGGGTCAGTTTGTGCACATTTTTCCTCTCACACCGTTTGAATGCAGGCAGGTGAAGATCAAGCAGGCTATTGGCTAGCTCAGATTAGTAAATGCCCTGAAGCCTGAGATGTAATCTCTTATTTTAAGACATGTAAGTAAAATGTAGAAGCCTCCATCTGCATTATTTTACTCATAACAAGCATCTCCGGCCGAATTCCTGGTTTCTAAAATCTCAGAATAAGAAGATTATCAGGACCTGTCAGGTAAATGAGGCTTTTATTTTTGAAGAGAAATGTGATAAATACACTTGCTGAGATTTTAATTTTTATAAACGTAGACCGACTTAAAGACTGTGGTTTACTCTTTGATTTTTGCTCTTTTGATTATTTGACCCATCTGTCACATAACTGCATTTTACTTATCATCATGTTACTTCAGCATTTTTTGCACTATTCACCACTGCACTGTTTCATATTTAGTCTTTTCTTATTATGTTTACTGTTGATATTTAATGTTGTACCTGTACATAAGAGAGCACAGTTCACAAAAGTTAAATTCCTTGTGTGTGTGTAAGCATACCTGGACAATTAATCTGATTCTGCTCCACACTTTGGCTTCTTTATTTAAGTTCCTATGAAGTTTTTTTTTTGAACAGGTTGCTGAGCACTGACTGTTACCTCTGTTCCACTATCGTCTGAAACAACCGCTAACTGAAGGATTTATCTGACAGTGTCATTCATATTTCCTGTTGATGACTCATACTTCACTTGTATTCTCTTCCCTTTAGTGAAACTCTTCCTTGAATTGTGACTCATGGCTGTGTTGTTGTCTACGTGCTCTCTAACTCATTGGGTACTGTAAATGACAATCATTAGCCATGATGAGTCCCCAACGAGCAGCTTCCAGGAGATCTATTCTACTGATCCATATTTAAATAGATACACATAATGTGAGTATAACAGATCTCCTTTAAAGGAAACAATACATAAGGAGACTAACACTTTGAAAGCTGTTTCATGGGAACTTTAAGAATGACGCTCCCTGGAGATTGACAGGTTTGTTTATTCAGTAAATCAGTTTGCACCACGCTGGTCGAGGTGAACGTGACGATAAGCGAGAACTATAAAGTCCGCTTGATTAGACTCAAACTCTTTTATATACAGTATCTTATCTCGCTGTGATCACAAGACTTACCACAACAAGAATAATGAAAAGGCAAGTATGAGTATATGACTGTTATACAAAGAGAAAGCGCACACTAAGAATTCATAAAAATCTCTTTAAAGGAGGTCTATTATCCTCACTTTCATCATTAATCATGTCAGTCTGGGACACTTATTGAGTAGCACTGTGAGATGTGTAGCTCAAAAACTTCCTTATTTATATTTTACTGGCGTCCGTATAATCACTAATTTCAGCCTCTGCCTGAAATATAATTTTAGCTACTGTCCCTTTAAGGCTCCCTATCCCCATATGCCCACTTTCCTCTGATTGGCCAGCTCTGTTTGAGGTCACATGGAAATATGAGTGAGCTCTGTCCCTGAGGATTACGCCAGCAACTGTGTATCTTGGGTTTAAAAAAAAAACTGTAGGAACTTCCAAAATCATTACAAATAAATAAATAATGTATTTAAATATGGATCAGCATCATAGATCTCCTTTAAGGTGTTGTGTAACTTCACAGATGTTTCCAGTTGTTTTGGTTGAGTAGGCACATGTTGGAGTGGATCAATGCTAAGCTAACGAGGGGGTTTATCACAATTTTTGCAGCGCAACATAAACTGCAGGAGTGACTCGTTTGGCTCTTTACTGAATATCTCATGTGACATCACACATTTTCTTAAATGTGTTCCTCTTATTAAATGTGTTTCAGCGAGCGCCCTCCTTTGTATTTTGTTTTTTCAACAGTTCTGAATCAAACAACCAATCAGGGATGGTTTGGACCTAACGAGCCAATCACAGCGACTCTGTGAGGAGAACGTTTGCAGTGGTTGCTTGGCAACAGTGAAGTTTCAAACCAGCCTGATCTTCTCTGTGTTTTTTGTTCCGTTGGGATGTTCATGTTGGTTTCTGACACTTTAAGTTCAGCAAATTATGAGCGACTGACGACTGAGAGTCATCTATCTGGTTTATTAAAACTTTATTAACAACATTGACCGTACCGTGGAGTCCCGGCTGTCCCTGCGGCTGTCTCTGCGGTTCTCTCCGACGGGGCTCGATTTGGGGCTCATGCAGGATGGGCTGCTGGAGACTCCTGCAGCTTTGGATGCACCCACTGAGAGAGCAGTGGACCCGATACAGAGCAGCCCCTCCCCGCTGGATCTCTTCTCCACCTTCACTCTGACCGTCTGCAGACTGAGGGCAGACGGAGGCGGCAGGTCTCCCAAGTCCTTAAAAAACACAAATTACATTTCAGTTCAAATGTTTTAATGATGTCACGACTCAGGAGGTTACATTATTTAGATTCCAGAGGAAAATACAAATTCTGATGTACAATAAGTCAGAGATGACATTTCTGTGTGGATATTAATCAAAGCTAACTAAGTGTGATTTACTAGAATTAAGAGAATATATATAGATTTTTTTCAACAATGAAATAAATATGAATTAATCCTATCGTGAGCATCTTTCAGTTTGTGTGGATTTTTGCATCCCCTGAGCTAAAAGCAGGACATCCAACCTTCTGGTTGTGACCCCCCCCCAAACGCTTTTCATACCAGAATAAAAACATATATGTAAGGTTTTAATATTAGGTAAAAAAAACAGAAGAAAATCAGAAGATTTTCAGACCAGAAAAATGAAGAAAAATAAAAACAAAACATGAACAATGAAAAAAGAAAATCAATAAATGTGAGAGAATTGTCAGACAAAGACAAAAAAAAACATGAACAGTTTCAAGGGAGGAATTCTCAGAAAACTTTAAGAAGTTTGATGTTTAAAAAAAACAAGAACAGGAAGATGGATTCATAAAAAAAAGATGATTTTCAGAACAGAAAAATCCATTACATTTGTGTTTGGTTTCAAGGGCGGAAAAATGAAGAAAATAAAAACAATACGTGAACGATGAAAAAATAAAATCAATAAATGTGAGAGTCAAAAAAGCAAAAAAAAAAAAAACAGAAGAAGTTGATGTTAAAAAAAAAATATTCACCTTTTCGTCTGTATCCAGTAGAAACCGGAGCAGCTGGTGGTCCTGAGGCTCTCTGGAGTTGGACTTAGGACCCGCATTGACCAGTGCAGGACTGGCCGGCGGCTCCTTCTTGATGTCCACTTGGTTCTTGTTGATTCCGTCCTCTGAGGTACAGGTGGTGGTCGTGTCGTTGGGGCTGCTGTCCTGGAGCAGCCGGTGCAGGATCTTATGTCGCTCAGTCAGAGTACTGTGTGAGGCAGGGCACTGAGGAACAGGGTTCGGAGGATGAGGTGATGAGGTGCAATGGATGCTGTTGTTGTTGTTGTTGTTGGATTCCACTCCTGTCCCATTGCTTTCCAGGAGCGGATTGTGTCTGGGGTTTCCCAGCGGCGAGGCAGAAGGAAGGGGGGCTTTTACAGAGTCCTCTCCCCCTCCTTCCATGTCCTCTGGAGGTTTTGCAGATGGAGGCCGGGTAGGGGTGCCGGCGGGCGTACTGGCTTGTCTCTGGGAGGCAGGAGAGGACAGGGAGAAGGACCCCGTCGACCCACCGTTGGCGCCGCTACTACTACTACTACTACTACTACTACTACTACTATTACTACTGTCACCAGCGGAAAGCTGCCGGTTAAGGCCGCCCCCGCTGCTGAGAGCCCCCGTCGGGGAATTGAGGCCTTGTGTGGAAGGAGAGAAGGGGTTCCCCGGTACCCGAGGGCTCCCCACTGACCCAGGACTGGCCCGTGGCATCCTGGGCGACATAAAAGAGGTAGGGGTGGCTGTGAGTGGGCTGTTCAGAGGGGAGGGGCTGTTGACCTGCTGGGAACAGGTCCGGTTGGGGGTCAGGTAGCCTGTGGGTGTGGTTGAGTTGTGTCCGTGAGAGGAGGCGTTGCTGCCGCTGCTGTTGTTGGCAGCAGCGGCGACGCCGGAGCCTTGAGTCCAGTTGCTGCCGGGGGGAAGGGAAGGGGAGCGGGAGGGAGTCTGGGCAAGGCTGCCGAGGTTGGGTGGAAGGCTGGGGTTAGTGTTTTCCTGAGAGCTAGCAGTGTTGTGTTCCCTGTGAGGAAAAAAAGAAGATTAAAGACGACTGTATCCTGAGACCATAAACGAGTTAGTGTCACAGTTATGAGTCTGATCCAGGTTTTAAATCCATCAGAGAAAAGAAAACTTGATCATTTAGCTTCCTGTTAAAACACTGACTTGTTCCAGCATCCTCTTTGGACAGTAATTCTGACGATGTCATCACAATTGTTCAACTTGAGTTTCACTGTTTCACCTTTAACACTACCTGTATTTCCATGTTTTGTGCCTCACTTTCAAGAAAGCTGCTGTTTTTAAATGTTCAGCTTATAAACAGAGGGTTGACTATGTAACACGCAGTCCGATTTTGGATGAACTGTTCCTGCAAGACGATTTTTCTAACGTGTTCAGGGAAGTCTACACCGTGCAGTTTATTTTAGTACCATCTGTTTTTTCGCCTTGTGGAGTTTACACTTCTACTATCTACAGTACGGTAATTAAGCTCTCAGACTAAGGTGAAAGTTATGAAGTGCAGACCCTCGTCCCGCGTGTCGTTGACTTTAATTGAGGGATCATTCAATCAAATCAGCACTTCACAAGCTTAATGACCTGTATACAACCGTTTGCTTTAAATGCACCATTACGACCTCATGACGGAGAAAAGATGGTAAAAAAATGGAGCTGGCAGCCTCGTCAGCGTCGCTATGTTTCCCGGCACAGCGTGCAAAAAACACAATGAATGGGAGTGAATTTTTTAATTGCGTCATGTCTGTTGCAGTGTGTCATGGACGGTGCACGCATCAGTTATTTCACACCGGTATATTGGTCGCATCGGCACGTAGGACGCAGCCAACTTTCAAATGATGTTTTTGGTTTCTCATGGAATGAGAGCAGCAGTCTGTGTATGAGTCTTGTGTTTGAGATATTGTCTTCCCCAGCCAGTAAGAGCGTAGTAAAAGCATTACTAATATTTGGAACAATATCGGGTCATAACGCACCAGTGACATGGAGAGTCTGTGCATTAGTGTGTGTACTAGTGTGTGTACGTGTCTTAACACAGTACCTGTCAATAGTGTGAATGCCCATAATGAAGGGCTGAACATCAGGGTTGGGGGGGCAGCAGAACTTGCAGCGGGTCTGAGCGCTGAGCGGAGTTCCATCACTTAACGTGAAATGGTACAGCGGGCTGATGGCCGTGCCGTGGGTCATCACTGGTGGTGTGACACACACACACACACACACACACACACACACACACACACACACACACACACACACACACACACACACACACACACACACACACACACACACACACACACACACACACACACACACACACACACACACACACAGAAATAGAAGTCAGATACAAAATCAAGAAAGATCTACTTCTATACAGAAAATGTTTTTTGTACATTCCTGCTTCTGTCTTTCTTACATTTTACATTTATGAGTTCATCAATGAAAAGAAAATCTATGTGAAAAAGTGTCCTTATCTCTTTCTTTTTCATCTCGAGAAGTTATTGAAATTACGGCACTCAAGTCATTTCTATTATAATGACATGAAGTGGTGCTGAAACTCTGGTAACCATAACAAAAGCTGGCACAGAGCCCGTCGATGATCCGTGCGAGTGTAAGCTGAAGAAAAATCAATGGCGGTCGGTCGGCTCACCCTCATGCAGCAGCTTCTTGGCGTGGGAGGGCTCTTTGCCCTGCGGCTGAAAGAAAGCGTAAATGCACTTCCTGACCAGGTCCTCCCAGCCAGGCCGGCCTGTCGCTCGCAAAGCACTTGTTTCTATGGAGATGATCTTCCCTGAAGCAGAGGAACACACACACAAATTCAAACATCCAAAAGGTCAGCCTAAATCTGCAGAAGCCTCTACGCACACTTTAAGGACTCCTTACTCTGGTTTTAAAGCTGCGTTCATGTACAGAAGTGTAGGTGTGTGTTACCTGTGGGGTCCTGCTTGGTGATGAAAGACTCAGTGTTGAAAGGCTGAGTGCGAGGCATCCGACAGGCGATGCAGATCAGGCAGCTCTGCAGGTCTGCAAAAAGAAATGTCACAAAAAGAAAGGTTGGTTTTGCTTCTCTCAAACTCATTTCAGGTTAGAACGCCGCTACAACTGGGACTATTCTTCCGAAAAAAAAATCCTCCATCAATACTCCTGCAGACTCATGTTTATGACATTTACTGCCTGCAAACTGATTGAACTTGTTGTAAAAGATTTTAAACTTTAACTCTTTAACTGTAACTTTATTTATTTAAATTAATTTAATTTGAATTATTTTTATTTGAACATATTTTCAGATTTAATAATCTCAGTGATTTTTAAATGTTCTATTTTAATGTTTCTTTCTTTCCTCTGTCTTGATGCTTTTGATGTCTTGTGTGAAGCACTTTGAATCGCCTTGTTGTTGAAATGTGCGACATAAATAAACTTGCCTTGCCTTGCATGTGTTTATGTAATCATTTCCTCCAATCACTGACGCTGTTTCCTCCTTTCTATCTCCTCGCCTGTGTTGTACTAACTTTCTGATGTTTGTAGCTTCGGATAAAAAAAAGCATCTGCTAAGTGTATTGTGGAAATGCTGACTGGTAAAAATGTACCATCTCCCTCCTCCTGCAAGTGCGCGGCTGGGACACGGTGAAACACTGCATGATCTCGTATTGTTGTCGAGCCTCGGGATTTTCCGAGTCCAACTCATCCGGCGGCCGCTTCAGCATGCGACAGTTAAACGTGTGGCTGTTCCTCCGTGCAGGTTCCTGAGGCCACGGCCCGCCGTTTACTGGACAGGAAGGAGAATTAAACACAGAGTTTGAGTATCATGAACAGAGTTATTAGGGAGGGAGATTCTGTGGAAGAGGAACTGCTACTTTGTAAGTAAAAAAGGAAGGAAGGCTCTTCAAGTGTTTGTGTGAGTAACACTGAATGTAAACAGAAGAAAACGTCACAGGGCAGATTTAAGACACTTCAGTTTTTAAACATAAAACAACATTCTTCATGGGACACTCACTGCTGCACATAAGGACACAGTATTTATTTAACTTACTGCTTCTTTGTAAATATTTAAAGTGTTATTATTATTTATTTTAGTGTAAAGAAACTCAGAGAAGGAGGATGAGAAGGGAGTTTGTTAGTGGTGGACGTTGAAGAGGTGAGTTTTTAGGGATTTCTTGAAGGTGGAGGGTGAGGGGGGGGGGGGGTCTCTGATGTTTTTTTTGGGAGTGAGTTCCTGAGGGTGGGAGCAGGACCCCTGCAGGACTGATGGTTGGTCCTGCAGAGGAAGTTTGCGGAGAAGGAGGAGTTCGGGTGGGAGTGTGTCGGTGGAGGAGCTCAGACAGGTAATAATAATAATAATAATAATAATAATAATATTTTATTTAAAGGCGCCTTTCAAAACTCTCAAGATAACCTTACAAAGTAGAGATGAAAACAACACAACGATAAAAGTAACATTAAAAACACAAATGTACAGGATGTAAAGGATTTGAGGCCGGGTGGAGAATGATCAGACTGAATGTGCCGGTTTAAAAAGATGTGTTAAGGTAAAGGGGGGGAGACGGGTTATGGAGGGCTTTAGAGGTGATCATCATGATGAGTTTGAAGAAGATACGCTGGGGGGATGGGGAGCCACAGGAGGTTATGAAGGATGGGGGCGATGTGGTCACGGGAAGACGAGCAGTGGAGTTCATGATGTATATTTGTTTTTGAGTGTTTGGGATGATGAAACGTAGATGAGACTGTTGCAGTAGTCTAGAGAATGAAGGTGATGTGTTTGATATGTTGTTTAAAGGAGAGGGTTTATTAATCGGAGGTCAGAGGTCATTTAAAGGGATATCTGCCCGAGAATATTAGCAGCACACAGTTTCAACATCAGAACACTCAAACTCATACACGTTACATAAGAAGAAAAACTAATCATTAAATCATCATCTTAAAGAGCTGCATTCAGAAAGCTTGAAGACTTTTCACTAAGGATTAAAAAACACAGGTTTATCTAGTAAAGCTCTCAGATGTCCTCAAAGACTCTCCACTACAAATCATTTCTGCATTTCACAAGAGGAAGATAAAAGTTCAGAAAGAAAGTTTCTGTTTCCAAGGAGAAAGGCACAAAGGCACTCTGCCTGTGCTTATATGAACCCACCTCATGCCTCCTCAATTCTCTACTCAAGGTTGTGGATACAAAACTGAAATAACGTTGAATGATGAAGATTGAAGAAAGCCATTCCCCCCCCACTTCTCCTCAAACCTCACCCACACCTATGCGTCCCTCCGTCTCTGACTTTCCTCCTCTGGCACATTTTGCAGCTTTCAATAGTTTGTTATTACATCTCTCTTCATGGTTGTTTAAATTTACTTTAAGCTACAGTATGCAGCAGCTTAATTAATCCAAGTTAATCATCCGTATTAAAGACTGTATTGATTCTGCAGCCAGAACTCGTCTCCTGAGTTTTACTGCCTCTTAAAAAAAAGGCTTTCTCTGGCGCTGAATCCGTCAACTTTCAAGATGCTGAAAATGTAATTACCAAACATCTTTATATAATATTTTGGCCCTGTGGTGTCTAAAAAAACAAAGAACATAAAGTGTGAGAGTTGAAAATCAGTGCAGAGCTCCACTCACCCAGGCTTTTGGGCAGCAGATTACGGACAAATTCATTGTGGTCTCCCACGTGGAGGATGCTGTACACACTCGAGGTCATCAGCTCCTCCTGGCCGTATCCAAGGTAACCCGTCACGTTCTCGGAGACAAAGACGATGCGGCCCTCCCGGTTCACGACGAAGAAGAACCCATCGAGGGCCTGAAGGAGAAGACGAGAGGAGAAGGAGATTTGAAACTCCCAGCTGCGGTGCCGCTGCGGAGGAAATGTTGCATGTTTGTGATCGTGTTTGTATTGTTCACCTCTAGCAGCATGGGCCCCAGGGCCTCTTTCTCCACCAGCCCCTGGCTGCTGGAGGAGATGTCGCTCTTCTGCACCTCGTCATCCGGAGACAGAAGGGCTGCTTTCTCTGTCAGGGGGGGAAACGAGGACAAATCAGAAACGTGTTCACTAATAACACCAAAAATTGTCACCATGTGTACAACCTATCCCACCAGTTTTATTTTACATCATGTTGTTACTTTACTGTCACCCTGTTTTTCTTTGTCCTGTTTGCTCATTTACTTATTTTGTTCTGACCCTTTTCCTTTTGTTTTGTTTGTTTGTTTGTTTTTGTCTAAATCTGCTCGCAAAACTGTATCGTACCACAGTTCCCCTCTGGTTTGTATCTCTTTTTTGTTTATTGTGTGAGTGTGTATATGCACATTTTGGTGAATAAAAGTAAAAAAAAAAAAACGAAATGTGTTCGCAGCGACTCATCCTGTAAATCAATAAAAACACCTTCAACTCCACACAGGAAGAATCACATGTCTGAATTTTGATCAGCTAAAAAACTTTAAAACAGAATAAGATTCAATGAGAACTGTTAGATGATTTGTTTAAAGGATCTTTTTTTACAGGGGTGCAAACTCATCAGGGATGAAAAAGGTGACATGATCCAAACCTCCTAAGGGGGTCCGGGGGCATGCTCCCCCGGTAAGACTTTTTTTAAAATATCAGCTTTAAAATGTGAATTTACAGACGATTTTAGTATTCAAACCTACTAAAGAAGTGGTGCAAAGAATAAGAAAAACACAATTGCTTGTCTATATCTATGTTTCGTTCTAACTGTTTTGATAAAGCTTCAGTGAAACATGAAGAACCTGTGCTCCTAACCTTCAGTCCCTTTTTATAAATAGGATGAATTTGCAGAACAAGGCTTACCATGTTCCACTAAGGGGTGATGTGAAGGTCAGTCACTGTGCAAGTAGCTCTCAGAGCAGAGTCTGAGAGAGCCTCATAATACAGTCATCAAGTATGACAATATTTTCTCTTCTATCATTAAATATGAAACATTATCAATATATGAACCTGATGTTTAGCTCCTGCTGATTCTCATTAAGTTTATATTCCCTCTGGTCTTATTACATGTGTTGACCAGCTGTCACTTTAATGTTGCCTGAGATAATAATGAACCAGAAAGCTGGATGAAGTTACCTTCAGCGAGCACACAACATCTTTACCTCTGGCTACCAAACAGTAAACATGATCAGACAGGATGTTTAACAGAGAGGCTGGCTTGCTAACCAGACTTCGAATCTTTCCACAGTGTTTTCATGGAAAAATAACGTAATGTAAATTAGCCATGTGCTGCAACACTGCGACTCATTAAATCAGGTTTTATGCTTCTTGCGGCGATATTGCCCAATCGCGGCCGGCGAGAGGAGGGTCCGCAGAGGGTCTGAGCGCCCAGCCGCGCATCTCCAAGATTTTGTAACAACGCGGACGGGTTCGCGCCGACCGCGTTGCAATGATTGGCTGCAGGGCCCGGAAGTACTCGCTCGCACTTTGACTGCAGTCAGTATGAAACGTGCTCGCCGGCCACAAGAAGCATGAATCAGGTTTTCATGACAGCTCGCGACGCAGATTTATCCCCCCCCCCTTCCTCCAAATGTTTTTATTGCAGATCTAAATTAATCACACAAATGACCTATTTGGAATCCAAAACGGCAAATTTCGCCGAAAGGTGAGAAGTTTGCACCCCTGTTTTTAGTTTTGGGAATAAAGAGAAAAACATGCAAACAACATGTCGCTTTGTCTTTCCGTGTTTGATTTGTTGTAAGAGTTTAGCTGGACATGTGCAAAGATGTGTTATTAACTCTGCCATAAAATACAAAACAAAACTTGAGTTTGGGTGTGATTAAAAATATTCCATGGACAATTTCAATCACTGAAACTTTCCTTTGTAGCACAACTATTCGAACCAAACCATCAGAGTGCAACCGTCTTCATAGTAAAGGATGTGATAAGGGTGTGTGTGTGTGTGTGTGTGTGTGTGTCCATCCTCACCCTGCTCACGCCGTTTCATCTGCTGGATTTGGTCCACGGTGCTCTTGAGGATGTGGCACTTGTCGGGCTTGACACTGAGGCTGGCAATGTCGCCCATGTTGGATGACAGCAGCTCGGCCAGCTCCTCGATGTAGCGGCACTCCAGCTCCCGTCTCCGCTTCTCCACACTGCAGAGTAAAAAAAAAAAAACACACATTTGTGGAAAGACGTGAGTCTTGAATATATGATCACTTCATCACTGAGGAGGGGAGCTGTGATTTAAATTTGAATTTTAAACGTAAAATTAAAAAAAAAGGGAAAAATGTAAAGGTTTAATTTGGGGCTTTTTATGCTCTCATTTAGAGACAAGACAGTGGACAGAGAGAGAGAGAGAGAGAGAGAGAGAGAGATAGAGGGAGAGAGAGAGAAAGAGAGAGATGCAGAGAGAGAGAGAGAGAGAGAGAGAGAGAGAGAGAGAGAGAGAGAGAGAGGGAGAGAGAGATGCAGAGAGAGATGCAGAGAGAGAGAGAGAGAGAGAGAGAGAGAGAAAGAGAGAGAGAGAAAGAGAGAGATGCAGAGAGAGAGAGAGAGAGAGAGAGAGAGAGAGAAAGAGAGAGAGAGAGAGAGAGAGAGAGAGATAGAGGGAGAGAGAGATGCAGAGAGAGATGCAGAGAGAGAGAGAGAGAGAGAGAGAGAGAGAAAGAGAGAGAGAGAGAGAGAAAGAGAGAGATGCAGAGAGAGAGAGATAGAGGAGAGAGAGAGAGAAAGAGAGAGAGAGAGAGAGAAGAGAGAGATGCAGAGAGAGAGAGATAGAGAGAGAGAGAGATGCAGAGAGAGATGCAGAGAGAGAGAGAGGAGAGAGAGAGAAAGAGAGAGAGGAGAGAGAGAAAGAGAGAGATGCAGAGAGAGAGAGATAGAGAGAGAGAGAGAGAAGAGAGAGAGAGAGAGAGAGAGAGAGAAAGATAGAGAGAGAGAGAGAGAAACAGAGAGAGAGAGAGAGAGAGAGAGAGAGAGAAAGGGGAACGACATGCAGGAAAGGGTCAAAGGTCTGATTGAACCTGGGCGCTCCACAAACAATCCTCGTGTCCATAAAGCATCAAAAAATACTTAAAATGGGGCTGACAGTAAAAACTGCAATTGTCCCCAAAAACACCGTAATTACTCACAGTGACAAAAGTGTTGGCTTGAGAGGCAGATCTGTGAGGAAGTAATTTGTAGAAAAAGGGAAGCTGGAGAGAGACCAGAGGACGTGTTCAGACAAGAACAACCGCTGACCTGGCTGCTGATTTAAAGTGGAGCCTTGTTCTGCGCGCTGACACCAACACAAAGAACATAACTCTGCGCTGCATTAAGATATGGAAGCGTTGGTGTTTAATTGATTATTCAATTAGAGGAAGTTTTTGGATAAATCATTTACTACAGGGTTTTTATTTTTTTTCCCAAGGTCTGGGAAAAGTCAGCCTCCCCTAAAAGAACAACAATACAGTTACACTCTGTTATAGTCGTCTCCCCTCTCTCTCTCTCTCTCTCTCGTAGTAACTGTAAATCCATCCAGTTAACTTCCCCACATCGCAGACGTCAGCAGAACATATGTTGAGGTTATTGTTTCTCCAAAGAAGTCCTCTGGCGCCCCCAAAGGAGATGCACCTTACATTTTAAAAACCTCTGATTTACTACATTTGTAGGCAGAGTTCAACTGGTTCCAACTTCTCTAAAGTTGACCTACTATGCTGATCACCATTTTTAAACTCACCTGTAGTGTAACAATGCTGGATGCCCTAACTAAACGTGGGCAGAGCACGAGGTAAAGGTATGTTGGAGTGATCCCAGGATACGTCTGCAGAGGGCGCTAAACGGCTTGTTCTGCAAATCACCTGATCGTTCCCCGATATGAAACCAAGAAGTACACAAGAGGGCTTCAAGCCTCGACGTAAGCATTGTGAAGAAGTTTACATAGACTCTCTTTTTCCCAGCACTGGAGAGCAGCCCTCCACTGGCAGCCCTGCAGTGTTCTGCAAAGTGGGCATTTAAGGGAGGGGAGCCTTAAGGCGCTGACACACCAAGCAGACGGCAAAGAACTAGTGGCACCTCACATCGCCTCACGTCTGGGCCAAAAAGTTGCACTTGAGCACACCGCAAAGACTACAGCCGACGGCCAACCGCCACGTACATTCTGCGCATGTGTGATAGGAAATAACTCGGTAGTCCGTTGTTATGATACGAGAAGACCATTTTCACACCGCTGTCGCTCACCACTCGTGTTATAGGTAGACTACTAATGGAGAATAATGTCTGATAAAAAGTTGAAAATGGCGCTGGCGTTGTCAGCTCTTGGTCTTTTAGTGGAAAGAAAAGAAGAGGAGGAGACAAATAAGGAGAAACCGCACTAATGGGTGAAAGAATGGAGACTACAGCGGCATGCTCAAGGGGCTTTCCTGAACCTGAGAGAGCTGGAGAGAAATGAAACTAAGGAACAGCCAATCAGAGAGATTCCTGTCACCGATTGCTGATTCAAGGTAAAACATTTTTTTTAAAAGGCAGACGGAGCTGGACACAACGCAAAAACCTAGGGCGACAATCGCCAGACTGACAACATGAAAGGTGATAATGAACATAACATGGGATCTTTAATGTGACCGACGAGATATGAGAGTTTTTGGGTCAAATAGTTTAAACTTCTAATCATGAGCGTGATGCCTTTAAAGACACGATCACCTCAGAAACAGCTGATTTGAATGATCACTGTGAGTGTTTGGATATGTGTAGGTAGTGCAGTGTGCTGTTTTCCCCCCTCAGCTCCCTGTTATACAGTTCTGTTTCACTATTATGCAAACATGAAAAGTTGCTAAATATTAGAAAAGTCGAGGCGCTGACACAAAATACTTTGCCTCAAAACTTCAGTCACTTGGGCGCCGCTTTGTGCTGAACCTTGTTCTCAAGTTTCCAAACTATACTTTCATAGTGACGAGTTACAGCAAGGTATGTGGTAAACATGAAAAAAAGAAATGTGTGTATATGTGTGTGTATATGTGAGTGTGTGTGTGAGACGACAACAGAAAAGTAGGTCAGTGCATTGGCCAGCCAGAACACACAGGCGTGGTGACCGAGGCAGGGAGGGGAGGGGGGGGGAGACGCTGCTGTGTGAATGCGCAGGTCAGTGGCTGCCTGTAGCTCCTGCAGAAATGCAAGCTGGGCTCTTACATCAGCTCGGGGGCCTTATAGAGACACACACACAAACACAGCATGCAGTAAATTCATTCTTTAAACACTAAACAGGAGGCAAATTCTCTTCATGTGCGTGTCAATAAATCGGATACTGCAGGGAGCGACTACCTTACACACCCCCAACTTTAACCTCCAAACCTTAAAGGCTTTATATATATTTTTTTGATCCAGCAGATGTCGCCCTTGAGCACCAGCATGAAACCAAAACAACTCGCGCTGCATTGTTGTGTTAGCATGTTAATGCTAGCGATCTTTATTATGCTCGTATCTTCACTCTGCATGTAAATTTACCTAAAATGAGCGTGATCTAGAAACACAGTTAAGCAGTGAGTACAGTATGTTATTCTTCTTTTCTCTAGTTTCTCTAATCTAGAGTTTTCTCTAGATGTAAATAAACTGAAGATAGGACTCAGTTATTTTCAGAGGATATACTTGATTTCTAGTATATTTAAGTGTGAAAAATCACATATTAAGCCTTTAAAGATGCTCTCAACCCCTGAAGAGGATCAAAAACTTGCTGCTGTGGCCATTTGAAGATGCCAGCGTTCGTCTCTTTTCACCTTTTTTCTTTGGTTCCTCTATAGGTTAACAACATTCTTTCTGCAAAGATATTTCTGCTGCGCTGTTTATCCTTTACGACAACACAGGAAGAAACTCGATGTTCTTAACTTGCTGGTTTAACAAGAGAAGCAAATTGAAGACGTCGCTTTCAGATCTGGGATTGTTCAAGTCCTTCTTTACAACATTTCCAGACTGCTGGCCTTTGATTAAATACAGAACATCAGTCCCTGATTGAATGTTTAGAATAAGAGGGACTGAAACATTGTGATTCTTCTAATGAATTGGTACTTAGCAAGAGTAGTGTGCAGGATTTTCTCTTTTCAAGTAGCCTCCTAGTTTGTCGCCCTATGCACCTACCTTATGAGAGAGTTGGATGTGGGCACACCTCCTTAAAATTCAATGTTTAAAATGTTAAATAATGGGGTTTAAACCATCGACTGTAAATATTAATGGACAAAGCCTGAGTGGAGTCGCCGCTCTGTAACTGCAGGGGGCTTTGGAGTCCCATCGATGGTGGTCTCCATGCTGGAAATCCTGTCTCACCTTAACTTTCAGTCGACCTTTTTTTTTTTATTGGTGGAAAGGTGACATCTGATTGCTTGTGCACATTTGGATGTCGGTCCTGTGTGCTGAGAATAAAAGCGCTGCACGTGTTATGTCTCTATAACAACAGTCTGTTGACAACTGCTGCGTTGTTTCATTACTATATGTTTTATGTTTGAGAAACTTATTTTCCTCCCTATTCATGCCAGAGCAGATTTTAAGGTGCAGCTGCTAACTTTGAAAATATTGAATGGCAGCGCACCATTGTATCTTACCAACCTGATGAAGCCCTATGTGCCTGCCCGAGCCCTGCGTTCTCAGGGGACGGGTCTTTTTAGTGTCCCAAAGGTCAGAAAGAAGACAGTTGGTGAGCGGGCTTTTTCTTTCTGTGCACTGACACTTTGGAACAGTTTACCTCTGGACATCAGGCAGGTTTGTTCTGTTGAGGTTTTTAAAGCAAAGTTAAAGACCCATCTGTTTACTGTTGAGTATGAGTCATGATTTCTCTGTATGTTTTTTCCGTATTTTAACTGTATTGCTTTGTACAGCACTTTGATTTAAAGCGCTTTATAAATACATTTATTGTTATTATTATGAGCATCGAATAGAGGATGCTAACCCTCCTACTTTGTCTGGATGATGACTTTAATATCAATGACACGGAGCAAGGATCCGTCTGATCTACGACTGAATGTGATTGGCTGGTTGAAAAGAGTGTCGATGACCTCTACATCGTCTTTCTGATCAGTTGAAAGATTTTCAACTTGAAGCGCTCGGAGCGGTCACACAAACAAGGTGGACCACTGGGCGCTGCGCTCTCTCTCTCCTCTTTGGGAATAACTGAAACACTAAGTGGACACAAGCCCGAAGAGTTGAATCCAACAGGAGCATTTTTTCCCACTATGGTGTTTCTTAAAGAGGACATATTATCCTCCTTTTCCACCTTTTCAAACAGTCCCCCTGTGGTCTAAATGAAACATCTGTGCTGTGCTTTGGTCAAAATATAACATGAATCAAGCACCAGAGGAGGTTTGTGACCCTGTATAAACCAGCTCTCTCAGAACGCTCCGTTTTGGTGTGTGTGTCTCTTTAAATGTAATGAGACCTCCCTGAGTTTTCCCCGTAGACATTACTCCTCTGTAGCGAGAATAGAAATGGCGGACCTGTACAAAAGTTTTGTTCTCGTCTGGAGGTGGAGTCTATGGGTGGAGATACCAGGAGAGGGGAGGGGATTTTTGTTTTTTACCAGAATCCCGCTGTGACATCACAAGGAGAGCACATTTGAAACAGAGCATTTGTCTCTGTGTTGTAAGACTTATGCAGACCACAAACAAAGGACTGGATGGGTTTATTTCACATGTTGTGGGTCAGTCGACACTCAGGTTACCCAAATATATGTTCAAAAACATGAAATGGATTTTTCATAATATGTCCCCTTTAAGTGTTGTCTTTGAAACAGAAAGCACACACAGCCGGGTTTTTTTTTTACCTCTGCCCTGACGTGTCGCATGGTGAGACCTTCCTCTTGCGTGACTCTGGGGTCGCAGGGTCCAGAGGGTTCTCCCCTACTGCACTCATTTTCAGCTTCAACTGACCTGTAGAGGAGGTAAACAAACAAAAAAAGGGAAGGAAGGTAAGGACAGGTCATTAAAAATATAAATGCAACAATCAAACCTCACAGCTTCTTGTTCATTACATCAGGCAACACTTAACACCGTGGCTCCCGGAGCCGCCGTTCAAGTGACCCTCTGTAATTATTGTTTTGAGGCCTTTGATTAAAGTGTGCGCGACAGGTTTTCGGACACAATCATCACTTACATAACAGCTGTTAGTGCCGCACAGTATTTAGAGCTGCATTGTGTTTTATGGCACAACACAGCGCTCGTATAAACTCCAGTTAGTGGTCAGAGTTCAGCATGTTTTCAGTGAAGAGGTAGAGCAAAAACACAAGAGCTGAAGATAACGCTGCTTGCCTCCTAAGTTTAGAATCATTAACATCTTCTTGTCAAACAGATTTTTACAGAAACTAAAAACACGATGATCACAAATGGTCCCACAATGTCACAAAACATAACAAACATCCACAAAAACATGTTCAAATTGAGGAAGTTATTGTTGTTTTGAGTGCTGTATCGCTGCAGAGATGCCCTGACCTACAAATCTGGTTTTGCATGATGTAAGAAAACATGTTTGTTTGGTACGAGCACAACAAACATTACATCATGACTCACATTAGAGTGGTATTATCTGTCAGAATAACCATAGCATGATTATTTTCTTTAACATCATGCAGCCTTATAGTTGAGCGAAAAAGAGACGGTTAACTCTAGTCCTCTATTGTCAGTTAAGAAAGCTTTAAAGGTCTCATATTCTCCTCCTCTTCAACCAGTTTAAATAAGTCTCAGAGCTCCTCAAAACATGTCTGTGAAGTTTCTTGTTCTAAATCCACTCTGATCTTGTATTTGATCATGCCTATAAACCCCTCTATTTCAGCCCTGATCAGAACAGGCCGTTTCTGTGTCTGTACCTTTAAATATGTAAATAAGCTGTGTCTGACCACGCCCCCACTCTGGAAGGGCTTGGGTGTACTCTGGCTTTCTCGCTCCATGTCCTATTGTTTACAGTTAGAAGGCAGACTCAGAGGGCAGAACAAACACCTAGCTGTGGGAGTGTCACCCACCTGGGGGAGGGGTTACTGCCCTTTGTGATGTCATGAAGGGAAAATCTCCAAACGGCCTGTTTGAGCACACATTTTCTGAAAAGTGGAGCAGGTAAAAGACGGAGAGGATGGACTTTTCTCATATTTGGGGGGGGGGGGGGGGGGGTGTATCGCCATTGTGCAAAATATATATATATATATATATATATATATATAGAGATATGATTTTTTTGTTCATAACGCTCAGCCTTTAAACCCCACCCCCCCCCCCCCCCCACTTTCTATTTTTAATTTGAAGAAAAAGTAAATCTTAAGAATATCAAAAAGAAGTTAACATAAACTTTGTCTTTTTTATTCAAGAGTTTGAGATTTGTTGTTGATAACACTTCTAACACTTTTAGGGACAGAATCAGCAAAGACACAAGACTCTGATTGATGGTAAAGACCATTGGACCAGGTTTTTATTTGTCTTACTCTTACGATGGGTTACTTTATCTTGTTTTGTACTAAGGTCTTTTCTCTTCAGTACTGAGCACTGACGTCATCGTGTTTTGTCCTGTGCTGTTGTTGTGTGTGTTAAAGGAGAGCCGACTCACTCCCTGAGAATCAAATCTACCTGCAGGTACAAATAAAGTTACCTCACCTTACTTTACTCCAGACGGGGGCGCTAACATCGTCACAAACAGTAAGATCCTCACAGGAGCTTTAACCTGCTGGTTTTATATTCATGTGAAACCACTGATGGAGAAGCACCCTACGCATGACTTATTTAGTGACTGTTACAATATTTATTCAGATTTAATATTATGCGCATTACATTTAAAAATAGCAACTCTGAAGGTGTTCAGGAGCAAACACTTTCACCTTATGACATCAACCCTTTACCTTTGTTACCGTCCTCTTTAAATGTTTTCATTTAGTTTTTGATCCGTAACAAGTTTATTTATCTGTGGTTCATTTAATGTCCAAACCTTCCATCTACCAGAAGGTTCTTACTTTATTTCAAAATAAAAGCAGGGTTGAATTCAAAAGCAAGTCAAGTACTCTCAATTTAAGACAGTACAACATTTCAAAATAAGAACCTAGCAATTTCCAATTTTAAATGCTAAATACAGGAAATTCAAACATGCAACGATATGTGACTAATCGTGAATAACATTTGAGATTTTGCAAATTAAAATGATGATAATTTGACAGTCCTAGTTGTTCTTGATTTGTTTGTTGCTGACGTTCCTCTTCAGCCTCCATTGCTGGACTCATCTCATTCCTGTTCTTTAATCTGCAAAGTCTGCAGTCCGCACCTCTCTCTTGCAGCATCAGGAGCGTAACCGTGGCAACAGAAAGCGCAGCAATGTTTGATGAAAGCACATTGTGCATGGAGGATATTTAACAGGGTCCCTGCATGATTCATTAAGCCAAGTATAAAGATGAAACCCTCTTAGTGGTATCGGAAATTTAATTTGAAGGCAATCTATTCATTCGGATACACAGAGCGCGACAAAGAGCTGAAAAGTCTCACATTTTGTTCTTGTTTTGCAGAGTTTCACACAGACAGGGTTTATTATTTTATTAATAAAATTGATAAAAATCAGGGTAATTTGCAATGTACACACTTTGACTAGGAGGCAAAAATGCACACAAAAGATGGACTCAAATCCATTTGTCCCTAAAATCACACTCATGACGTGTATCTTAATTTAAAACCTGTAAATCAAGAACATCATCACAACCTTAAGACACACACAAAATGTATAAATCCATGGGCACACTGCAGGAAACAAGCCGCCATTGTCACTGTGTCGGGTGCCGCCGCAGGGCCAGGCTGCTCACAGGACGCTAATCCTTCCTGACGAGCCTTGTTTACATTTCACCTCAAATCACCCCTCTCCCTCCTCGGCCCTCCTTGTGTTGCTGACACGCAGCACTTAAAAAAAGATCCATCCGCCGCAGTGAGAAATGAGAGCACGGCCGCTGCACTAACGTGCTCAACGCAAATACAAATTAGCCCAGTTTCTGAGAGAGACTCTCGGCTTCAGCGGATATTTAAATTACAGCTGAAGATGTAGGAAAAGTTAAATCCTGACCTGGGAAAACCTGATTATGAACAACATGCAGAATGTAACACGAGGAAAAGACGAGGCACTAACTGCATGTGTGCTACATTGTGAATAAGGTTATAATAACACATATGCTACATTTTCATAAAACATGTTTCCTTACAGCAGAAAAAAATCATAAAATATACAAACAGACACATTTTACAGGATCAACCCTGTTTGTATATTATATTAAATACTAGACCTGAGATGGGACAGATGTCTAGTTTCTCTACACTTGAACAAAAGAGAGTCAGCTGTGCATATTTTTTTTAATAGGGCGACAGTGGCTCAGTGGTAGAGTCTGATCTCACCCGGAAGGTTAGGGGTTCCTCGCCTTGGCTGATTAAACGCTAACGATAATTATCGCGATGTAATTTTTCTCAATATAAATATGATAAATGTTGATAATAGATTGATAGATTTAAACCTGTAAGTACAACAAGCTTCCTAATTCGCCTTCAATGCCAGTGGCCACTCGACATTAAAGAGAAGAAGAAAAATGATGACGTACAGCCAATCATATCGCAGGGATGTGAGCAGGCTGGCATGCAGACGTTTGGAGCAAAAATCAGGCTTTAAATTTGAAAGATAGATATTTATTGTGATTTCATTTTTGGTCCAGCCTTACGGGTTTCTGCAGCCACACGTCGATGTATGAATGTGTCTGAACGGGATTAGTTAACATATATGGACACTTTGTGCAGCAGCAGTGTGTGATTGTGTTAAGAGTGTGTAGGTGTGACCTGCCTTGTAAAAGCGATCCGAGTAGTCCAAAGACTAGAAAAGGCAGGGAACACAAACTCGGCGCTGCACTCTGACTCTGATTTTAAATATAACTCAGAAAAGTTCAAGATCAAGCAGAGTGTTCACTCTCTGAAAGAACATCTCTCGCTACCCACCATGAGGGAAACCTGGCGGAAGTGTGTGTTTGTGTGTGGTCAATAAGCTCATTGGCCCATCACAACAAGCCATCAGCAGCCGTCATGATATTTCTGGGCTTTCCTGTTTTCCTGTTTTCAGTTACTGTATGATTACAGCAACATCAGAACTCTCAATATAGCCTCTCCACATCACAACAATTTCCTCCTATAAAAAGGGAAGATCAAGAACATACATGAGGGGAGGAACTGTTTGAACTGAGTCAGACAGAACAGAGAAACATTGTGAACTCTGGTCATTGGGTTCCCTCTTAATCCAATGCACTCTTTTTACTGCACATGCTAAACATGAGTTCGCTTCTTGGGTTATTCCTTGTATTGTGGTTTATGTATATTATGTATATTACCAAAATGAAACCATTGTTTAACGCTGAAATGTACCTCATTTATTTTGTACCTTCACCGATTTTTTAAAAATAAAAGCAGCTTTTTGAGTTTTTTTTCCTGTTTTTGATATCAGTAGTGTATGATTTTACAACAAAAACAGATATGAAGACTTATCTACAATATTCAGATTAGTCTTCCCGGTCACTTCTTGTATCTCGGGGTGGATCAGGCAGATATCTGATCTCCAGACCAGACAAATTAAAATCCAATCGCTTCACAAACACTTGAGGCAGCGGTTTGATTCACAGCTTACAGTCAGATATTGAAAAGGTGTAAATGTCTCACCAAAACAAAAAGTGTTATCATTACTGATTCACTGCTGCTGCTTTATTGTCATTAAGCAGTGCAATTAACCATTCGTTGTCTGATATTTTCATTTCATGCATTGCCTTTCTGAGAAATTACAAAGTTCCAACGGGCAGATAATGAGGCCATGAAAAAGAATCGAAATCGAATCGTGAGACACCCAAAGATTCCCAGCCCTAACGCTAGCTGATTAATGCTAGCTGGCTAACTTTAATCTTACCAACTGCTACAAACTCATGAACTAACCTGAAACACAAACCCACGGTTCACTGGATCCAAACATCACGATCCACTTTTGGTG